AGGTTGCAGCGTTTTGTTTTTGGGGAGTAAGCTGATGCTCTGTCGACGATAGACCATTTAATGTTGTAGGGTGTGTTGCTGTCTTTTAATTTCCATACGTATTTGGAGAGTACGGTGCTGTTTCTGTGTTTGGGCAGGCCCGTAGCCAGGGAGGGTTTTTATGGTTTGGGGGAACCCCGTTTTCTAGCGAACCCCTCTGTTTTCTAGCAAACTCCCTTGAATTTTTTATTGAGTCCCACTCGGACGGAATGTCTGTTTTTAACTTACCCAGCATTAAATAAAAATTTAGCACCTAATTCATTATTTGGTCACCCGTTTTTAAATTGTAGCCTGCGATACAAGCCTGCATTCATAGAATATCTCAGCTTCGGAAGTTCGGAGATTTAAATTGAACGCAACTCCACACATAAGGATGGCAAACATCGATAAAAACCCGGCTGCCGTCTCAACTTTCACTGGCCTTTGGCTGAATGTTGGTAAGAAATGTACCAACCGGTAACGAAACCAGTCGCCGTCTACCTAGAGTAAATGGTGCCACCAAACGAAGCTGAAGTTTTGCGACTTAATCCACCGAATGCAGTTAAAGTTTTGCGACTTAATCACCTGATTGTGGATTGTGTGGTTAGTAAATTCCATAACCATACTGTCCATGTGCACACTAAACTATGTGCTGATGGAGCATTTAGGCTGGCCCTGGACCCCACGCCCAGAGAACCCCCCCTTGAAATGACCTGGCTACGGGCCTGTTGGGGGTGTTAAAAGTGTATTTGTAGTTTGTGTATCGGGTTTTGAACAGTGTGTCAGTGAGCCCGATGTAGCATTTTATGTAATCATTTGAGTGGACAGTGGCTTTGTAGATGATGGATGAGGTGAGGCAATTTCCAGAGAGTGGACATTCATCTTTTTTCCTGCAGAGTTTTTGGCTGTTGTTGCTTAGCAACCAGCCAGGGTCGTTTCGGCCCTGAGTCATTTCGGCCTGAGTCATTTTGGCTCAGGTCATTTCGGCCCTGAGTTGGTATTTTTGTCATGCATTTCGGCCGCAGTGTATGGAGTGTCGAAGGTGCGGCCAAGAATAATACTTTAATAGTACAAGGTGGCTAGCAGTATAGGCCTACTGTTTGTTAAACATAAAACTTAGGCTACATTACTGCAACATTATCAGTTATTAACAATTACCCTTTTAGTAGTATTTCATTATTATTATTATAATTATTATTAAAGAGTTTATTGCAGTATCAAATGGTGTTACCTTTATTTTTACAGAAACAATGCAACTATTACAAGTCGATTGGTTTGGAGACATGTTTATTTCTATCGTTTCCATACGATATACAGTATATTTGGAATATGGCAAAGGCAAGCCAAACCAGTCACTCGTCGCAAATCCTGTTTTGGAGATAATGGCCAAAACAGGCTGGAATTTCAAAATTTTGAAAATATATTTTATTGCACTAAACTAACCTTTATATATCTATACATCATGCTATGCTGTTATTTTTCTCATTTTCAATGTTAAAAAAACAATTTTTAACGATTTGGTAATGGTTTCTGCCTAAGAAATGCCTGAAATCGTAAACTTTGAAGGCCGATTTCTCAAATATTGTTCTTTATTAAACAGCTGTATGTTTAAACTCGAGTAACTTCATAACGAAGTGTCGGATTTAAATGATTCTTTAACCATTTTATAGTTCTCATTTTACTGTTAAACCCTGTATTAATAACTAAAAATTGATTTTTCCG